CTGATGTCCCTCTCTTGGGGAGTATTTTTTTTTTTAGAAATTTGTTCATGCAGTCACAGCCAGACACACCAGGTGAAATTTGGTGAAGCCACTGAAATTCAAAAACGGAATGAGGGCCTACAGAGAGTGTGAAGGTTGAAGTGACTGGATCCCACATGGCTGACTGTGCGGTTCAAGTCCTGGATCTGACCGCTTGAAAATCACACTGGGCACATTTGTGTGCATGCCTAAAACCCTGAGAGGAGAATGGGAGAAGGGATTGTATGTGGCCATCCCCCCGGGGGGTCATTTCTCACCTTCCCTCTCTCTCTCTGTGTGTCTCTGTCTCTGGCAAGTGGACATACTTCATAGCAAATATTCAAAATAAAGACAAAAACTGACGATGTAGCGCAGACTGTTGAGAATCGGTGATTTATTTTATTTTTGTCTCCAGAAGTAAGTCCTTGGATGGACCTTGGGAAATGAGTGGTTTTGGGTGGAGACAAGGGAAGAGGGATGGTTATCCATTAGGGGTGAAACACTGGTGAGAGTGAAGGGGAGCCCTTGCCTGGGCTTGGCCCTGAACTGTCTAGGGTGAAGGTGAGGGGTTTACACCACACTACCCATGTGTCGAGGGCCCGAATGTCGAACAACGCTGAGGTGAAACTCAGAAAGGCATTGAACCGCGTGAAGGTGCAAATCAGAGAAAGGCCAGTTGCTGATGCAGGAGTGTAGGTTGGAAGAGGAACTTCTTTGACAAGAAAGGCCCTGCTAAGTAGTGATGGCGGAGCTGGGCGTCTCTGTGCTCCTCTGCCCATTCCTGCCCTGCGTGTCCTGCGGGGATCAAAGGAGGTGACCGTCCTCCAAAGTGGCTCAGCGGTCCCCACTCTTGGCATTCATTCCTTTCCACTCTACATTCTGTCCGGGAGGAAGCAGTCTGCAGGGGTTAACTCAGCGTGGCTCCAAGCCCTCTGGTCTCTAGCCTGGTTACACCACGAGGAGCCCCCGAAGGAAGTTACAATTAGGGTGCCTCAAGGAGGCTGCGTCCCTCCACTGCAGATGCGGCCCTCAAAGTGATCTCTGCTCTCCTTGGCCCTTTCTCTTTCCCACCATTTTGGACTCAGGAATGGTACCAGTTCCACTACTGTGAGACGTTCTTTGTGGTTGTCTTACTTTTATCCACACATTTGTAATTAGTCCCTTTATGAATAACACTTTTATTTTTTTTCTAATTTATATATATCATGTTGCCTGTCTAAACCCTGATGATTGGTGTTAGAAAATGGTTCTGGGAAGCAGACTCAAACTTGGGTCGGGGGATCAGCAGGTAGCGTGCATCATTGGACTCCCATGTGGCCTACCACGGTTTGAGTCTTGGACCCAGAGGCTTGAAACTTACGCTGGGTATGTGTGCATGCATGCCCAAAGTCTCAAGAGCAGAACGGAGGAGAACAGATTGCAGTGTGGCCATCGCCCCTAAGGGGTGATTTCTTGCTTTCTGTCTCTGTCTCTCCAGTGAGTGCATGAGCCCTATAGCAAAAATCTCTCTCTCAAAAAAAAAAAAAAAGATTCTGGAATTTCTTTGGTCATATATGAGGGAACTTTTAGGGGCCAGCAGGTGGTGTGGTGGTTAAGGCGCTGGAGTCTCCCATGGTCAACCGGCAATTTGAGTTCTGGACCTGGTGGCTTGCTTTTTCACTTTTTCTCTCTCTGTCTCTCTCTGATCAAACTGGAAAATAATAATAATAAATAAAGTGAAATTAAAAAAAAATCTTTAAAAAATTTATAGAAAACTGGAACTGAAGTACAAGTTTATTTTGGTGTAAAAAAGATTAGAAATTCGTGCATAGTATTTTCATAATAAGCTTTTTCTATGAACTTCTTGAAGTCCCACACCCTGTGTTTGGAAGTCTAGGGATAATTTCGGTGCTTGGAGAAATAACTCAATTATCAATGACTCAAATATTGATCGGAGTTGGCCAGGAATGAAGAGCCAAGAGAGTACGATTCTGGCTGTACAGAGCTTCTGGAAAGTTCTGACAGGAGAATGGCAGCACAACCCCCCACCCCCGGAATTTAGATTGGTGTCTAACCCTGTGCTGATAACTATTTTCCACATGAGGAATCGCTCCTGGTTTGCTACTAAGGAGGACTGAGTGTTCAGTCATGGATTAGCAAATATTTATGTGAGCCAAGCTGCCCGCTGGGAGCCGAGAGCTGTCTGACTAACTAACTAGGCCAGTGGGCAAGCAGGGCGGAACCACAGGACGTGCAAGTGCTGCATGTGAATGGGGTCCTGGCAGGTCACAAAGGCACAGGGACGCTCATGAGCAGTGACCCACATTCACACAGTACTTGTTCGTTCTGTGTCTCCTTCAACCCATGCCAGTGGCTTCGTAGATGGTCCTCCCGAGCCAAGGAAGGAAGGCTCGGGCTTGACTTACCAACCTCATGTCTCGTGAGAACATCCCAACGAGGAGCAAGAGCTGCCGTGTGCCAGCCCCGCTCCGAGGTCTGCCTCCCTCTCTATAACCACTGCCTTTTATGAACAAACGCTTCTCGATTTATCCCAATCTGAGTGCGCCTCTCCTCTGGTTGGGGTCCTCATGGCCACTGCTCCCTCCCGTATTGCAGGCAGGAGAGCTGATCCTTACCCCCGTCTTCACCGCCGCTCTGTTAAACCAGGTCCAGTACCTCCCGCGGTGTATCTGCCGTTGGTCTACTTTACACGCCTCATGGTAGCCCGACCTGGTAACGATCTTTATTCTCCTTTTACTGATGAGGAAACTGAAGCACAGGACAGTTCGGCAGTTTACCCTGAGTCACAGTTAGAGGTCAACCTCTGCACCATAAGCCTTCTCGAAGGGTAGGCGTGCCTCGCCTCATTTCACAGAGGGGGAAATTGACAGTCCCGTCCCAGGGCTGGGTTAACACCTCGCTGTCTACCCTGGGAGCTGACCCTCGCCTCTCCCGTGCGCCCTTGGAGTGATGCTTTATTTTCCTGTGTCAGTGTGAGTGTGAGCGAACTGGGAAATGCGCGTTCTGTGGGAACGGGCCTCCTTTTGAGATTCAGATTTCATGTATGGTCTTTAGGAAGGTAAATCACAATAGCCCCAGCTCGGATTCACTAGCCAGCTCCTTCTTTAAATATTCAGCTTATATTCGGACTTAAGTTCATAGAAAAATTGGGACCAGCAGTTGGCGTAATGGCCGTGTCTCTGGATTCCCATGTAGTCGACCGCGGTTCGAGTCCCGGACCCAATGGCTTAAACTCATGCCGGGTGCATGTGCGTGCGCGCCCAAGATCCTGAGAGGAGAATGGAGGAGAAGGGATTGCGATGCGGCCATCCTCCCGGGGGGGTGATTTC